CTCCCCCGGAAAAATAGAAATCTGTATGTTTTATGAGTTCATCATCATCAAGACATCCCCTGGAAGGCCCTCTCCCCCGGAAAAATAGAAATCTGTATGTTTTATGAGTTCATCATCATCAAGACATCCCTTGGAAGGCCCCCTCCCCCGGAAAAATAGAAATCTGTATGTTTTATGAGTTCATCATCATCAAGACATCCCCTGGAAGGCCCTCTCCCCCGGAAAAATAGAAATCTGTATGTTTTATGAGTTCATCATCATCAAGACATCCCTTGGAAGGCCCTCTCCCCCGGAAAAATAGAAAACTATATGTTTTGTGAGTTCATCATCATCAAGACATCCCTTGGAAGGTCCCCTCTCCCAGAAAAATAGAAAACTATATGTTTTGTGAGTTCATCATCATCAAGACATCCCTTGGAAGGCCCCTCCCCCTGGGAAAATAGAAAACTATATGTTTTGTGAGTTCATCATCATCAAGACATCCTTTGGAAGGCCTCTCCCCAGGAAAAATAGAAATCTATATGTTTAGTGAGTTCATCATCATCAAGACATCCCTTGGAAGGCCCTCTCCCCCGTAAAAATAGAAATCGATATGTTTTGTGGTGCTATCTAATGATTTTAAGAGCACTATCATAGTGTTTAATAAATTTGCTCATTCAGTTTTTTTTCATTTTGTATTTCAGAAGAAGCTGAATTGTTATTGATGATATAAAATAACTTTGTGTAATTAGTACCCTGTTTTATACGCATTTAAACTGATTATTAACAGATGCTAATATAATATTTATTATAAAATCCACACAAAGAACACATACAAGTGTTGATCTTAATTAAGTGGTTACATTTTTGTACGGCAGGTGTATGGTATACGGGATATATGTTTACACATTCTCATTACGTTCGGTACCATTCACCCCCGAAATTTCATAATGATATATTATATATTGAAATATTCCATCCTTTGAATTGGAAGAGTTCAAATGTGTCTTCAGGGGTGAATGAGTTAATTTATTGAGAAAAAAAATCGTATATCATTTCCAATACAGTTGATAAACTGTATGGTAATAAACATAAAAATACCCAAACATTGAAAACAACGTTCGACAGACCAAAAGTCACGTGCATTTGACTTTGTTTTATTGGGTTTCGCTGAGGTCCTTTAACAAAGCACCTCCGTAAGTGTATGTCGACTGGAGGCGGTATATATAGATTTTAGATTTTTTTGATACTTTCCCGTCGGATCAAACTTTTTGAAGGATATATATATCGTACAAATTTGATTTCCTGTTTATTATTTTCGGACATAAAGCAAAAAAACCCTGTCATTTTCGGATAGGAAAGATGTGAAACAGTGCTATACACATACATGTAATATATATTCTCGGGTCTGAGTACGTATTTATATATGTGTAAATTGCAGTAGTTGTTTTCTTCATTTAGGCTACTCAAACAAAGTGTCCCAAAAAGTGTTTTCTTTTGCATTTCATGAAGCGTAAGAAATACACAGTTTCAAAATGGCTGCCGAACTGATCACTTTTTTTTAAATTCTTGTAAAATAGTTTTACAAGAAAACAGGCATCTTGTTTTTAGACAGATGTTTCAGATGCACTTTACATTTTACCGTAACAAATTGATCATTTTTTTAAACCCGTTACACTACATCAAAACGAGATTTTAACGTGATTTAAACCTCATGAACATTATTCAATAGGCTTATTTGTCCCTTAGTATGGTACGATGACAGTCATCATATATAACTTTTTAAATTAATAGATAAAATGATTTTAGAAAGCGTGACATGTTAAAAACATAAAAGAAATTCAACAAAAATGGTATGGGATACCACATGTTTTATTCATAAAAAGTTCATAAAAACTACTAAAGTTGTAATAATAGTAAAAATGTATGCATTATGCAGACATTTTATAGGGAAATAAAAAGAAAGCATTAATATTCATAAAAACTGGTATAATTTGTCACGCTGATTGAACTGGCAAAACAAAATCACTACCTATCACAATCGTCATGTGTTCTGCAAACAGTGCTTCCGTGTATTTCTCAGTGATAAGTTAAAGTTATAAGAAATACGTATGTCAGTTGTACACAACTCATTTATACCGTTATGCCTCACGGGTTATCTCCCTTCAATCAATCATCGCATAACGTTTTTCGAGCCGCGATATCTACCATTTGTAGTTTCAACTTGGATATTATACACACAGAAGTTTCAACTTTTACGTAATGCACACAGAACTTTCAACTTTAACGTAATGCACACAGTAGTTTCAACTTATAGTTAGACAGCCAGAATATTGGTGGCTGGGAAGTAGTGATACAACCAGATAAGAGGTGTCTCGAGAGTGGGACAATCCGATTAATTATGGCTGAAATAACGTGACTTGACTTTGTAGAATAGATATAATAAGTGTGGTTGATTTTGATCTATTAAATCTGCGAGTTTCATCAAGTAAATTTTGCCATAGAATTAATGCACGGAAATTGATATATATCATAGTCTATCATAAGTTGGAAGTTTCCTTCCCCCAGATAAGGAAGTGAACGCAGACGTTGTGATGTCACGCCTCTTGAAGTTACATTTTGTATTTCTAGCTGTAAAAACAACAGTTTTGAAAAAAATGCGAATGTATGATATGCATGTACCTTACATGACCTGACTAGATCAACTCCTCTTTGTATCGTACACGACAGGACAAGATCAACCCTTATTTGTACCGTTTATCGCACGATAAGGTGTATTACTATTTGTACCGTTTATCGTACGATACGGTCTATTACTATTTGTACCGTATATCGCACGATAAGGTTTATTACTATTTGTACCGTACATCGCCCGATAATGTTTGTTACTATTTGTACCGTATATCTCACGATAAGGATCATTACTATTTGTAACGTGTATCGCACGATAAGGTTTATTACTATTTGTACAGTATATCGCACGATAAGTTTTATAACTATTAATACCGTATATCACACGATAAGGATCACTACTATTAATACTGTATATCGCACGATACGGTGTACATGTATTACTTTTTCTACCGTATATCGCACGATAAGGTTTATAACTATTAATACCGTATATCGCACGATACGGTTTATTACTTTTTCTACCGTATATCGCACGATAAGGTTTATAACGATTAATACCGTATATCGCACGATACGGTGTATTACTATTTCTACCGTATATCGCACGATAGGGTTCATTACTATTACTACTGTATATCTAACGATAAGTTTTATTACTATTAATACCGTATATCGCACGATACAGTTTATTACTATTTGTACCGTATATCGAACGATAATGTTTATTACTATTTGTACCGTATATCGAACGATAATGTTTATTACTATTTGTACCGTATATCGTACGATAATGTTTATTACTATTTGTACCGTATATCGAACGATAATGTTTATTACTATTTGTACCGTATATCGTACGATAATGTTTATTACTATTTGTACCGTATATCGCGCGATAATGTTTATTACTATTTGTACCGTATATCGCCCGATAATGTTTATTACTTTTTGTACCGTATATCGCACGATAATGTTTATTACTGTTTGTACCGTATATCGCCCGATAATGTTTATTACTATTTGTACAGTATATCGCACGATAAGTTTTATAACTATTAATACCGTATATCGCACGATACGGTATATTACTATTTCTACCGTATATCGCACGATAGGGTTCATTACTATTACTACTGTATATCTAACGATAAGGTTTATTACTATTACTACTGTATATCGCACGATAAGGTTTATTACTATTTGTACCGTTTATCGCCCGATAATGTTTATTACTATTTGTACCGTATATCGCCCGATTATGTTTATTACTATTTGCACCGTATATCGCACGATAATGTTTATTACTATTAATACCGTATATCGCACGATACAGTTTATTACTATTTGTACCGTATATCGCACGATAATGCTTCTTACTATCTGTACCGTATATCGCACGATAATGTTTCTTACTATTTGTACCGTATATCGCCCGATTATGTTTATTACTTTTTCTACCGTATATCGCACGATAAGCTTTATAACTATTAATACCGTATATCGCACGATAAGGATCACTACTATTAATACTGTATATCGCACGATACGGTGTACATGTATTACTTTTTCTACCGTATATCGCACGATAAGCTTTATAACTATTAATACCGTATATCGCACGATACGGTGTATTACTATTTCTACCGTATATCGCACGATAGGGTTCATTACTATTACTACTGTATATCTAACGATAAGGTTTATTACTATTACTACTGTATATCGCACGATAAGGTTTATTACTATTTGTACCGTTTATCGCCCGATAATGTTTATTACTATTTGTACCGTATATCGAACGATAATGTTTATTACTATTTGTACCGTATATCGCCCGATTATGTTTATTACTATTTGTACTGGGTATGACTGGGTGACAGGGACATACACATGTAATGTGTGCGTACGTAACTGACTTATGTTAAATGTCGCGTAGGGGAAGTGCATGTAACAAGCTGAAAGGGACAGAGAAATTCTAGTGTGGCTATACCATGCTATTCTCTATTTTGTATCTTTTCACCGATTAACATTTTGTTATGATATTATGAGGCAAAGTTGTTCAGAACTTAACAAGAAGTCAACTGACCAAAGGTCAAGGTCACTGTGTCAATTTTAAGGTCAAATATTGTATCTTTTTACTGATGAACATTTTTTGTATGTAATCATGAAGCAAAGATGTTTAGAACTTAACACGGAGTCACCTGACCAAAGGTCAAGGTTACGGGTTCTAAAGGTTAAAGGTCAAGGTCATGTTTTGTATTTTTCACTGATGAACATTTTGTTATGATATTATGAAACAAAGTTGGTCGGAATTGAAGAATGAGTCAACTGACCAAAGATCAAGGTCACTAGGTTAAAGGTCAAAGTATTGCACCGGTATTTACATTTCTGTTAGCCCAGCAAATATGGAAGTGGAAGGAAACAAGACTCACATCATAGTACATGTAAAACGTCAAACGTCAAGCTCAGCTATATGGGCAGATTGCTTCTTGATGATTATGGGGGATATATTGCCACAAGACGGGCCCTTACTGACCTGCCAGTGGTCTAGTTTCACCTACGTTGACCAAACTTGCTAAAGTTTTAATGTAGCTTGGGAAGTAGGAGTGTCGAATTCTAAATTCGGGTCTCGTGCCCCACTATATAAAGCGATATGGCACTTCGTTAATTTTAAATACCGGAGTTTTTCTATTGGCTAATAAGGGGAGACATATGTTTTTGTTCACAAAAACAAAATTCTAGTTATATTTAAAGTTGTATGTCATTAGAACAATTGAAACTTTCTATTTTGCGTTTGAGTTTGGATCAAAGCTGGCCCAAACAACGGCCAAGTTGAGTATGTATGTGTCCTTTAAATCGGTTACTTCGACCTCGGTGCCGCTAAATCCATGTAGATGGTTGTATGGCCCTATGGTTGGTACTTTGTACATGGCATGTTGTAATCCAGGTAATGGGCTATTTCCAAACGGCCCAAGCATTCGTCCTGTGTTGGTCTTGAGTGTTATACCGCTTATTGCATAAGAGTACAATACATCCACAGCAACAATAAGCTCCTCCTCCAAAAGAACAGCCGTTTGGTTGTTTGTTGAAAGGCCGCTAATTTGTTCATTTTCATATTTTGCACAATTTCCATGGCAAACTTTCTTGCCATCGCTGTAGACACTTTTTATCCCGGCAAGAAAATTGAAGCTTTTCACTGATCGGAAGTGAAATTCAATGGAGATAACCGCGACATCCGGTTCGATTTCCGATTTGTCAGCGAAAACAGTTTTTTGCAAAAAATACTCAAATAGTTTAACGTGCGTCATTGCTTTGTTTGTTGACAAAGACCAGTCTCGATCTGACGACGATTTCCATATAGAGGGTATGTCTTCGGCTTCCGTTCCGTTTCGAAAAAGTTCAGACAACTGCAGCAAGTGCTGCACGAGAGCGTTGTCCAGTAGATGGCGTTGCGGCCGGAATATTTGTGTCAATATAACGTGCGAAAGTAACGGCATGTTGACGAGCTTTAAATACTCAACGAAAGCCTCTAGTAGCTCTTTTGGATTCGTTGACACAAACGTCACCAGAAATTGCATAAAGTACATTTCTCGTCGTTTTGATGTAATCGGAATGCCTTTTCGTTTTATCATAATTGATCTGTCGTTGAAGAACGCCATAGACGAATTCATACGATTGTAACAAACCTCCGGGTCAAGGGAAAGTGAATCCTGATTTTGTTCCACCAGGTCAATGGCCTTCCTATACAGTGATGGAATAGACAGTTCCCTGGCAAAGTCGATCACTTCAAAACAGTTACCGGGATAGATGAAACGGGACGCGTACTCGCTACAGAGTGTTACGAGTGACGTCATTTCAAAATGATGACAAGCAAACATCATCTCGAACACACTGTTTTCTTTTAAATTTATTGTTCCGGTATATGCAAATTGAATAATGTCTGAAAATATTTCCGGTTTGATGTTCCGTATTCGGATGACCTTTCCGTTTGCACTCCGCGATAGTCGCCTGAAGTAGTCGGAAACAGCTGCAATTACTACGCTGTGGCAACTAAACACTTTTGAACTCACCTCGAACTTGACATCACAAAACATGCCTTTTTGCCATAAGGTATACATTTCGGGCAAAACTGTGTTACCATAGTGATGAACATTGCAATCCACAGATTCTGAAATGTCATGGTTGTTATGTTGGTTGTCATGTGGGACTGATGGCTGTTCTGGACGCTGCTTTTCATCCGCTGTACTCTGTGACGTCATATTCGTATTCCCAATTTCTAAATAAAGACACAAAGATTGAGTTACCCGGATATTAAAGTGTTCGTTTTAATTAAAGGGAAATTCTTATCGTAATTGAATATTTTGATATAAGTTCAATAGTTTGTTTAAAAGTTATGGCAACATTTGAGACTTTCTGAAATGTTATTTTAACATATGTTTTTTAATTAATATATCACATCTCTGGCCACTGTTTTTTGTTTATATTCAGAAAGAAAAGAAAGTCAGCAAATGTAAATACTTTATAACTGTTGCTTCTAAATCAATGATATAACATCAATGTATCTGTCGTTGATATGCAAAGACTTTTTACTTTATTTACTCTTTATAAAAATATCTCGTGACATTTGTTATCCGTTTCGTCCCTAACTGAGCTATTCAGGAAGTTGGTATTTGCGTTATACAGTAATACAAGAAACGAAACTGGTTTTAGATTAGAACGAAAAATGGTAGCTTCTCTGATATCTAAGTTCCCAAGATGGCGACGTTGTTTGTATACCTCTTGTTTTACATCTAAACAATTTATCTAACATATCTTAAGCATGACAACTCTCATGTAGATTATTTAATCTCTAGCCAGCCTTAGAATAACAACGATTACAACTGCTTACAAGGTATTTCATTTAATATTTGAGGCGTCAAAAAAAACAAGCATGTTCTGAAATGTTATCGAATCGTACGAGTTACCTCCCATTGAACGGTTTTTGATTTCCTAATGGTCAAGCAATGCTACAGGTACACGGCTATTTCATATGTATAGCCATATACATGAATGTTCAGCCGTTTATCTTCAAAACAAATACTTCTGATTGAAAATGTCAGAGCGGTTCGGATGGTTATGATACAATTTTTTAAGATATGGGATTTCAGTTGACAAAAAGTAGCAAGTTTGTGGTTATCCCTTGAGTATGCCTCATTTCGGGAGATATGCCTGGCCACGGAGAAACAGAAATTTGCTATATATATTCCTCAAGTCCATATTTAAATGTTTACTAAATTAAAAGTGAATGAACTCACCTGCTAGACCACATACGTTCTGTTGAGATATTTCCTTGTTAGTAATGCGAATTTTGTCCTCGTTTGAAAATTTCAAGTTTCTATTTCCGTCCGGGTTTTTTTTATCGTATCTGAAACAACAGTTGTATATGTCCCCCTGGTGAAAGGCTTCCTAACGACTCGTCTAGGGACAATTTTGTCTAGCTCATTCAGTCACAGGGGTTCGTTACAAGTGTCTGAAATACACATATGCTATACTGATATGGGTCACACCACCTGTGCATGTTTATGTGTGCTGTGACCCATATCAATAAAGCATATGTGTATTTCAGACAGTTGTTATGAATCCCTGTGATTCAGTAGAGCATAAGAGTAGTATATCAGAGGTCACGAGTTCGACTCCACGGGGAGGTATTGAAAAAGTTATGACCTCTGTTAGATATAGGTACGGGGATTCTCACCCCCCCCCCCTAACTTAAAGGCAAAATTCTGAATTGCTAGCTATGCATCGTATTTCGTTAATATACTAAATATATAAGTGACAAGCAGTTCTAAATAGACGTCAATGTTTGGGGCATCCTAACTCTGGTGATTTTTTTTTTACCGAAAGTTGATCTAAACCCCTAAAGCGAGTAAAAATACTCTGAACACCATAGTTTAGGTCCGAGTACAACTGTAACAAAATCTCAAGTCCCTGTGATGACAATATGCGTTAAGTACAGTAAACTCACCACATATTCCGGTAGACCAAACACTAACTACTCTTAAAAGGAACATCCCCGTGTCGAATTTCTTGTCATACTTTTTATGTTTATTTATTTACATATTTATGAATTATAACCCACTCTAAATGACATAAGATAATCAGGATACGAACTAACAACAAACTGTTTACGTATAGCAGAATTGAGAATGAATCAAGTTTGAAAAATTGTTTCTTAATATGTTATACATATCATAGTACGAGTGTTTGAGAGTGTGTAGCTACAATATATTTAAAAAACAACATACCGTGTTTCGGAATCTTTGTGGTGTAGGGATTGGAACTATGTAAAACACTCCGTCCAGAAATGATGGGGTTTTTCCATGTCGTGCAAATTTACATTTAATCTGTTTCCTTGTTAGTTTCAATACTTTACTATGAATTGTTGCTAATACTCGCCTTCGTGTTTTCCCTGTCCGTTTAAATTTCCGGGATCCGTTATGAATAACTTGTTTGTGGGTTTGTTTGAGTGGTTTACTTCCGCATCACTAACGTGTAGTTCGGTTGTTATCCACGAGCAGACGAATTATGAGAAATGCATACGTATTACGGTAAATTATCGGTGAACCGCCGCCAGTCAGGAAGAAGGGAGAAAACTCGTGTTTCCCTGCGTACAGCAAAGCGAATATCTTCATTGTTTCACTATTGAAAATGTGTATAGCGTTATGGCTATTTTCCCATTATCAAAAGAGTGTCTGCCATAAATACCAAAATCTTAATTTTTTAAAAGATATTTGCTAGGAATCTTCGGTAACCCATCTGGTCGTATTCCAAAATAAGGAAAGTCCCTGGTAAACCCCGATAGTTATTACAAGGTTTACAATTTTCAGTTTAAAACGTAAAATACATCATCACTATGTACATGCATATAGTATTAAATTGATCGAATTGATAGCGTACGTTCATTTCTAAATCATAATCTTTAGAAAAATCAAAACAAAACTCAACACAATGTTAGTCAATAAATCTAAAAAAGGGTTGTGCATTCTTAGTACCTATGTTACATGTACAAATGCCATTGTTTTGGAGACCTAATCGCAAAGTATTGGTTTCCTATTTGCGTCCAAAATGCAGCACATGTTCCGGCTAAAAGTTTTATGCATTTTTTTTTTCTTTTCTTTTCTACCCAACATGGTATTTCTAAGTGAATAGCAAGTTTTTATTGTGGTGTCATCGAACGTATTGTAGATATACTTGTAAGTGGAAAAAAACCATATACATGTCTCGGTACAGCGTGTGTGTAGACGGGGCACTTCCCTGTACCAGTAAGTACACTATAAATAAAGTAGGACAATTTGGAATAAAGAGGCAGGTACCTGAATGGTTATAAGTTTATATTGTTTATCAATACGAGAAAGACTAGTATTTAGACCAGCTAACTGGGAAATTAAAGAGAAAGAGTGCGGTCGGATTGGGGAGGGAAAATATTAAGACATATTTACAATTTAGCCTTTCCTCATTCAACCATTTAATAAACCTTCAAAACTCATAGCACATTAAAAAAGAATTGAAAAAATGGAGAAAAAGAACAGTAACTAAAAAATAAATAACAGTAATGAAAAAGAGGGTGGGGGGGCTTAATTACAAATAAGTATTAATTATACATCGGCAAAAAATGCAGTTAATCCAGTATGTATAAAAATATTATGTTTTATAGGTGAAACAAAATCAAAATGTGTTCGTAAATAGTCCGAATCGTCTGTTTCGATGTTTCAGCTAGCTTTTACACACTATAATCACAATTGCCAATTTATCGCTATTTTCTTGACGGTCTTTGGGCATGTATGTCTTTTTTATTTGAAAAAGGAGAACGATTACCCGGATGTATTCATTTCAGTGCGAGACTTTTGTTCGTATCTCCATACTAAGTAGATTCTAAACGAATCGGACAAACGGATACTCCATTCCCCTGATTGGCAAATCTATCTAGAATCACTCCAGTCCGACATCCGTGTATAGAGTTAGATAGGCCGTGACGTCACCGTACGTCCCCGCCGTGAGTGTGTGTAAATGCATATATTGTGTCCTTGTGGGATATATAATAGATTACGGACAAATTGGATTGCATGAATTCCACAGGGATGATCATGGTCACGTATGGACAATAAAGGACACACCCTAACAGATCCTGTCGGTGATAACATCGGTTTCCATACGTCATTTCTAGATCTGCCAATGTGCACGTTCGTTTTTACTTGTTAGATTTCGTTACATAGATTTGATTTGTGATTCAACCGTTATCTACTGTTTCCGGACCAATGTCATCACGTGCTATAGACTACTGCTTCGAATATAAATATAAATAGTGGTTATTTTGAGTACACGATTTGAAATGCTGGAGGTTTCAATTGCAATGTTATGTCAGTATAGGATTTCTTTTACAGAAGACAGTTGGACCAAAGTCATTATGAGTACAGAAATGCGAGAGTAAGCAAGGTCAGGTCGTATACCGATTCCATGGGGTCAGCAAAAGGACTATTGCCATCCGAGGTCCAGATAAAGATTATCAATAGTATTAAATGCCAGCCCTGACGTATATCCTCTAAGCGGAGATGCTGATGAAGATAGTCTAAACTTATACTGCTGTCCGATTTCCTGTTGTGGACACCATATAGCATACACTGTCCGAGGTCTTGATGTATCTAATACTTGTATACATTCTATATTGCCGTCCGAGTTTCTCATATAGATTCCCTATATATAAGTATTTACGCCATCCGAGGTCCTGATGTGGATCACACTTGTACACTGTATACTGGGATGGATACCCTTTGTGTACATGTATGTACGGCCGCTCGAGGTACTGTTGAGGATTATATTCACTTAAACCTCGTTATAATGCCACAATTTGTCAAATGTAGACGTTATAGAGGAATTTTGCAATAAATTGAGGGAAACGACGGACGAAATTCTAAGAAAAAGGGACCTTGTATTCTACTGGCGGTAAGCAAGGTGGCAATTGAAACGAGGGGCATAATAACGAGGTTTTACTGTATAGTATGTATGACTGTCCGAAGTTTTTATGTGGGTCATAATGCTTTATGTGGCCGTGGTCCTGATGTGGATTGACTACGGTATAAAATTTATATGGCCGTGATCCTGATGTGGATTTTCTGTCCGGATGTGGATTGTCTGTCCTGATGTGGATTGTCTGTAGTCTATAATGCCGACAGAGATCCTTGCATTGTTTGTTTATGGTCTGTTTTGTCTTTTCAAAGTGTAGAGATCGAACCTGAGGACCGCGTTAACGAGTCAGTAGATGGCGATTCACTAGCAATACGTGTGATTGTAAGTGTATCTGATGATTGTTCCTTCCATGTTGCAGATAATCTCATTCATACAAAATGTAAATGATTTGAGAAAATATTTCCACGTCAAAAATCGATGAGGATATTTGCTCCATCGTGTGGTTTCTAAGATAATTAGCTGATAGTATCCCTTATCATCACCTGTATACGTGCAAACAAATTATAATAAATTGTGTACTAGTACATCATGTGTCACCTATAGAGATGTATCTTATTGTGGGTTCAATGCCACTTATGATATACAGAGATACTAGCCAGGATCATAACAAGCAATTATCTTAATTATCTTAAACCTTAAGAATCCCTGTCCCATTGCACTGTGGTTTTCGTATACACAGTTACCTCCCCTTAACTTCCGTTTGGATAAAGCTGTAACACGATTTCGCTTGGCAAAAAGTTCAACTGCACTGTTTACATTGCAGTTGTTATGATAGCAAGGTAGTATATATGTACAATGACATATTACCTAGTTATACCTTAAAATACATGTATAATTAAGGATTCCCGTCCCGCAACCAAAATTGAAACTATATAACACAGGTATTGATTTTTATATGTGCTCTCGCCAATGTGTGTGTGTTGCGTTCATCTACATGTATGTACGTGTAACGTTTGTCGTCAAACATGATACGATGTATGAAAATGCTCAACGATCATTCATCCCTACAATATTTCTAAAGCTACTGCTTGGGTCAAAATACCTCGATTCTGCTCTATTTATTGTTGCATGCATGACCTTATATGATCGGTCAAGAAAACGACCTCAAATACGTGAATACGACACAGTTTAATCAAGTATGTGATATGGGTGATGACGTGGTCTCTTCATCATTACATACACGCGCTTGGCAAATCCGCATGCGCCTGTATGTGAATCTGACTAAGGGACCTGTATATGTGTAAGACAAATGGACCTTTATGTTACAGACGAGTTAGGTAAGAAGGAACAATTACTATCCTATACAGCAAAAGTAGACAATAACAAAATGATATATCAACAACGTAACACGCAAGTCGGAGGCACGGTAGTCTAGTGG